AAAAAAAAAAAAAAAAAAAAAAAAAAAAAACTTGTAGAACAAAGGAAATGTAATCAAACTATAGTATTCAATGATGAATATTTATATGCTACCTGGGCCACAGTTAGTCTTCAGAATATATTGAACGAATACATAAGCAGTAGCAAATCAGAGAGGGAAGTAGACATTTGGGGGCCCTAGCACCGTCTCTTTTCACACTTTCCTGGCTCTTGGTGCCTCCTACTGGAAGATGCTGGTACCACCAATCTAGGAAGACAAGGTTTTCTAGAAAAAATTGGAGCCGAAATTGGAGGTAAGGGCCTGATCAGTTCGTTCACTAGGCTGGGATGGGCAGTAGGAAAGGGAAGGAAAGTGATCGGAAGTTTCTCTGGCCTGGGTCCTCTTAATTACCTGAGAAGGGCTCAAGGTCGAGAGCAAGGGAGGCACCTGAGTCTTGGGGGAGGGCAGCAAAATGGAGTTGTAGGCAGGGGTGGCGCCACTGAGGTAAATCCCCGGCCCTGCTCTCATTTTATTTAGCAGTACAGCAGCGTACAAAGCAGATAGTCATTCTGGAACAATGTGCTGTCTGTGCATGTGTGCGGGGCGTGGGGGTGGGGGTGTCCAGGCCTGTGTCTGTGTGTGGATGTATGTATAAGTATGTGCATGCTCTGGGGATTAAACCCAGTACCTCTTCCATGCTAAACACTGAGCTGGACCCCCAGGCCCTAGAATTCTTTGAGACAGGGTTTCACTGTGTAGTTGAGACTGCCCTGGAACTCACTATGCAGCCCAGGCTGGTCTCAAATTCACAGCGATCCTCCTACCTCAGCCTCCCAAGTGCTGGGATGGCCTAGAATACTTATTTTTAGAGCAAACCATGTCTTTCTTGCCTTAAGCAATGATTGTTCCCAGAGCTCTATGCCCGCCCCCTTTGGTGGTGCTAGGAAGGAAACTAGGCCTTGCACATTACCCTCACTTTCCCGTTTTCTTTTCTTCTTTTCCTTTACTTTCCCTTCCTCCTTCCTTCTTTCTTTCTTTCTCTCATGGAGCTCAGTGGTGCCACTGCCTGCCTCGAAATCACAAGGTCCTGAGTTCGATCCGAAGTACAAAAAAAAATCCAGGCTAGACTTGAACTTGTGATTTTCCTTCCTTAGTCTCCAGAGTAGTTGGAATCACAGGCACACAACACATCATGTGGCAGTGTTTCAAATACAGTAATATTTAGGGCCGGGGCTTTAGCTCAGTGGTTCTGCTGCTTTTCGGCAAGTACAACATCAGAGTTTGATCCCAGCTACAAAAAAAACAAAAAACAGTAATATTTAATTTTCTTTTTTGGGGGGGTTTGAGACAGGGTCTCACTATGTAGTTGAGACTGACCTGGAACTCGCCATGTAGCCCAGGCTGGTCTTGAACTCACAGCAATCCTCCTGCCTCAGCCTCCCGAGTGCTGGGATTACAGGCATGCGCCACCATGCCCAGTTTAATTTTCTTTTTTACTAGTCTTTGTGATACATAAATACTTTGTCTTGGGTAATTATACATATCACATTTAATTTTCCCCGTAGTTTTATCACCATTTCAGGCATTACTGAGTAAGTGCTAATACCAGAGTCTGAAGCCAAACGGCCTGAATCTGAAACCTGACTTAATGGCTCTCTAGCTGTTAAGTTATTTATTCTCTCAGTTTCCTTGTCTGTAAAGTGGAGATGACCTATTAATAATAGTATAACATTGACCTCATAATAATTCCAATTCAAAAGGTTGCTGTGAGGATTAAACATTTAAAAAGCTTAAATCAGCTAACCTAATCCAGTTCATTCCTGAGATCCAGCTGTGCACTGAAGACACTTTGTACCCTTGTACAGTAGTAAATTCCTTTTCTTGTATAAATCAATCCAAACTTGTTTCTCTGGCTTACATTCAATTTTAGATGCTAATACATCCAGTGTATAAGTATCCCATGATGTACAAATTCTATTACAAACAAACCTGGGATGAACTTTTTGTATTTATCCCTGTATTTAAGCATTCATGTCTCCAGGACATACACTGTACCTAGAAGTGCCGTAAGTTTGGGACTTTTTACTTTTTGGTGTCAGGGATTCAATCTGCCACACTTCCAACCCTCATGCTAAGTACCAGCTCTGCCACTGAGCTGTGTGCCCAGCCCCATATTGATCATGCTGATTTTTGTTTGTTTATTTTGGTACCAGGGATCAAACTCAGGACCTTGTGCTTGTGAGGCAGGTGGGGGAACCACTGAATTAAATTCCTCAGCCCAGCCCCACCCAATATTGGGATCTTTTTTTTTTTCTTCTCAGTACCAGGGATTGAACTCAGGACTTTGAGCTTTTGAAGCAGGCACAGTGCCACTGAGCTACATTCCCAGCCCCTGTATTGGGATCTTAATTTCTAAAATCTATCCTCTCTTCCATTTTCTTATCCTTTTGCTTGCAACAAAATGCAAGACTCTTTAAGCTTTCAGAGAACAAGGTAGTGGCCCTGACTAGAGGTACGATGATAAATTATTCTAAAACTGTTCTTGTGTTTCACAAAGACCCGGGCTCTTCCTGTGTCATTAACTTGGTGGTTCTTAGATATGAAATTTACTTCATTATAGGGAACAGGAAAGGGGACATCACCGGGGACACTTGCAATGGTCCTGGTCTCCTGTGAGGCAATACAACATGAAGCTAATAAGAATAAAGAAAGAAATGAAACTTAGAAAGCTGGATCTTGGGGCTGCTCTGGGCTGCAAAGGCAAAACCCCCCGCTGGGGATTTACCTCAGCAGCACCACCACCTGTCTCACAAGTGCAAGCTCCCAAGTTCAATCCCCGCCACCCGCGTGTACACACACGCACACACAGTCCCTAACGACATCCAGTATTTATTGATTACAGCATGGGAAGAAAGTGAGAGCAGGGTATGCTTTAAAGGCATCTTATGACACAGGGCAAAACACCTGGCGCCAGGCAGGGCTGTTGGGAGTCAGCACTGTTTATCATGCTAGGATACAGCAAAGTGGTACTGGGACCAGTATGGGGGACCAGCTCCCACTAGACGAATAGTACCTGAAGGAGAGAGTGAGGATTGAAAAGGAAAGACACTCTAGGCAGAGTGGAGGCAAAAGACTGTCCGCTTTATTGGAGGCAAACCTGGTTATTTATACATACATTATCGGCAAAATCTACAGAAGAAAAGTCTGCAGAAAGGCATCACAAGAAAATGATCAAACACTTGAACATTTTTACAATCCTAAGATAAAGATCACAAGTCATTTACATACACTTAGGGCCAGAATGCTCTTTCTCTCTGGTCACAATGGTGTCTGCTGACATCCAGATGACAGATTACCTCCTTGTTCTTAACCACTTCTAGTTTTCCGCATACTGTTCTTTAGGTGTGAGTTTCAGTTTCCCCACAGACGGGTGCAACTAGCAAGCAACCCATTGGGACAGAGAAAAGCCATAATTCAGGGGAAAGGGTTTTAATTGGGGTAACGCTGACCTCAGCTGCAGCCCGGCCACATCACAGACTGGGGCCTAGGCTTCCTTGGCAGCCTAGTTGAGGGAGGGGCCCAGCCCGCCGGCTGATAGGCCCATCTGAGTGACGGAGGGCTTCAGGGCTTCAGTCAGACTTCTAATATAAAACGGTATCGCCCAATTATGGAAAAAAGAACGTGCCAGTTACATCCTGCCAGTACTGGGCAAGGATGTCTCCTAAACTTCACGATTCATCACCTCATGAATTCTCTGGTGTAAGCAAGCCAGGTGACCCCGTGTGAGGCCCGTGGGGGTGCAGAGATGGGCAAAGTGCCCGTAAAGGCCACAAGCGGTCGAGTGTTCTCCCTCGGCCGCGCAGAGGACGAGGTACTGATTCAGTTCTTCGGGACAGAGCGGGGATCAACTCCTTTCCGCCGCGGGAGACGGCTGGGGGAGGAGTTGCAGTGGCACACGGGGTTGTGGGACCTAGTCGCGTCGGGCCTTGCCCATTCGTTCCCTTCCATCTCATCCCGAGTGTGGGGCTTGTCTACAGGAGTCTCCATGTCCTAACCCTGAGAGACTTAACAGCTAGCGGAAGGCTGAGGCATAAGGATCACAAGAGTCCAGCCTGGGCGGCTTGGCGACCTGTTGAGACCCTGTCTCAAAATAAAAAATGGAAGAGGGCTGGGGCTGTAGCTCAATGCGAAGACGCTGGGTTCAATCCCGAGTGTCCCCCCAATTCTAGGCGCAGGGCCCTCTACTTATAGGATTTTCCACCTAGCAGACGCTCCTCCCTCCCACTAGCCACTTCGCTTTGACGCCATCTGCTGAGCAAAAGGAAGTGATGAACGCTCGCGCCCCTCGCGGACAGTTCTAGTCTCTTTCGCGGGTCAAATTGGTTTGTCTCCCTTTAAGAAGTTTGACCCAGGTGGTTCAGGGACTTGGTGCAGTGGTTCTGCTGCCTGCCTTGCAAGCACAAGGGCCCGAGCTAGATCCCTAGTACCACAAAAATAAAAACAAAACGGAAGTTTGACCCAGGAGGAAGAATTAAAAGGGCGAGAGGTATACCAAGGCATTTGAAGCTCCCCCAGATTGGTCCAGTTCGGGTAAAGGGCGGGCTGTAGCAAAAACCACATCGGTGATTGGTTTTTCCTCTCGTCGAGGTGATTTCCGTGAGGTCCCGCCCCCTGAAGCAATGGAGGGCGCCCGTGACTGGTCAGATGCCCGGGAGGCGGGCTCCGAGCGCTGAGCGGGTAACCGGTGCTGGTGCGGCTGCAGCTCGCGAGGCGGCATGTCCGGCTGCTCTGGGGAGAGGCGGGGAGAGGATGGCGCCGCCGCCGGCTCGTTCAGGTTCAGCCGGGAG